ATACCAATATGCCCAGTGGAAATAACCAAATACAGATGCCTAGAGCAGAAGTGATTGGTCTGTGAGGAAAAACTGTAATAGCTCTTAAAGTTCTGCCTGGCTCAGGCTGTTGCTGAGCTGAGCATATGAACAATCCACATCACTACTGTATCTGCTATCCCAGATGCAGGAGGATGGGGATTTACCATTATGGGGAAGCAACAAGGGGAAGGAGCGGTTGGACTCTGGAAATGGGATGTAAGCAGAAGAGTAGGAGGTGTCAGAATGTGCATTAGGAAGAGAAGTTTTCTTCCTTGATATTAGGGTATGCTTGTGTGTGCAGGTTTTTTAGGAAGGTGTTCAGAAGTGCTGCACACAGGTGAGTGTTGCATCTGTACCCCAGAGCTCCCTCTGTATGTTAGTCCATCTGTGAATATAGCAGGTAATGCAGCTCTTCCTACTTGTCTTTCTTTCCCTGTGGAAGTTTCCAGTAAACACCCTCTCCTGTGCTGTGTCTCACTCTCTTGCTGGGCTTTGGTATCTGGTCTTGCAGTAATCCAGCTTTAGTAGTGGCAAGGACAACTGTCACTCGTCACCACTGCTGGAGTCCCTGTTTTCTGAGAAGACCTGAGGAAGGTCTTTCAGGTTTCTGTAACCAGCGGACTTACAGAAATATAGTGAGTACTTTTGAAAAGAAAGTAGCCACATCTACATTTGGAGCCCAAAATCCCTCCTGCCAGCCTGTCTTAGCTGTACCACATGTTGAATTGGGCTTTCCAAATGACTGAGGGAAAGGACTGCATCTCTCATGGATTCTGCTCAGCCTTTGTAGGGAGTGAAGCACTGAGTCTTTTAAAGGGGGACACGGTCCTTGACACAATGAAAATTCTAGGAGCATGGAAACTTAGCAGTCAATCAAGAGGCTCCAAAAAAGCTGTAGTGCCTCAAGGGTAGGATTCTAACCCACTAGCCTCAATATTAAGCCCAGCTTTGACGTGTAAAAAGTAGAAACTTTGCTACTGTTCAGAACCAAATTAAACTTCTCATTTTGCAAAAAAAAAAAAAGTGCATTTGTCAAAGACAAGAAGGCATGTAAGTTGTGGAAGGAGAACCAGTGGACTGAGTGTCAGCAATGGTTTGGAAAGTGAGAGAACACGGGCCTGCAGACAACC